AAGATTAAATGCAATGTCAATCGCTATCTACTCTCCTTCTGTTTACACTTTCCTCTTCCTGTTTAATGATTATTGTTTCTGTTTCTAATTATTCATCACCATGTAATCCCTTGTGTCTTAGTGGCTTTATTGCCTTGCATGGGGTGATACCGATTAAAAGAAGAAAAAAAAACGAAATAATGACACGTGTCTGATGCAAAGAAAGGTGACATTTATTGTGCATTATTCGATTTTCGTCTAATAAGTTTTCTTTGTTTTTTCAACACTAGTTATTGTCTAATTGAAATAAATAATAAATCTACAACAATTTGTTCACGTCACTGAATCTCCATGAAAACATTAATAAATTTATAAAGGCATTTCGTACGACCCGACGCAAATTGGGTTAGTTTATTGGGTTTACCGTATGGCGCCGAACAGTCGTGCTTTTTTTCGCTTCCAAAGTACAAGTTACTGACTATTGGGTACGATTAATTGTCAATACTAAATACAGCTATCTTTGTGTGGTTATTATTCAAGGATTTTTTCACACACACACACACACACATATATATATATATATATATATATATATATATAGTTTGATATGAATAAAGTGCCGACTAAATTATGCAAAAATGAAAATAACGCTGTTATCTATCTCATTTTAACAGATATATTTACCCAAATTATACAAAAATATCCTGAAATACTAAAGAGTAGATTTATTCAATTTGTTTCAACCACGGCCTCCAAACGATTTCGGAATCTTCTGCAACTCTTCTGGGCGGTCTCCTTGTTTAAGTTAGTGAATACTTCTTTAATGCTTGCTTTCAGATCATCTTCGGTATTACAAGGAGTTTTGTTGATCGCTCACTCAACTGCCCCCCGCATACATAATAAGCAAGAGGGTTGCAGCTGCGGAGTTAAGTGGCCAGATGTAAGGGGTGCTGTGGCCAGATGTAAGGGGTGCTGTGGCCAGATGTAAGGGGTGCTGTGGCCGCAGAAATCGTCTGACAGCCATGACTGAGTTCTCTTGTTTGTGTGGCATGGTGCCAGACATAGGGACTGACAGCAGGCACCCTCTTGACCCAGAGTAGCACTACCTCTTCAAAGCACTTGATGTAGGCCTCCGTGTTGAGTCTGAAACCCTCACCAGCAAATTACAGAGTTCTTTCCTCATCAGAAGGATCCTAGCTAGTTTTCCGAGCTGCCATACCTTCGTAATCACCATTAGACTCATCCAAATCCTCTGCAGTGTTAATTTTACGGGAAAAACAAATTCCAGTTAGTGTACAGACCTGTGAAGGCAGGTTGGCGATAAACACTGGTAATAAACAATCCATCTTTACGTTCAACAAAAACTAAAAAAAAGGACTACACAAAGTACCCCTAGACATTGTCAACGAAACAAGAATAATATATCTCGGTAGATTAAACAAAAAGGAACAGGACGTTGTGGAGAGCCATCTATGGTAATGGTATATATAAATATATATATATATATCCTGCTATTTTACCCATAGGTGGAGGGAGAGGATTCATACCTTTCCCAAGGGTATTAACACGTAAGTGAATGTAATGGATTCGACTGGAATTCGAACTCGGCTCTGCGATTTCTCAATCCAAGCCGCTATCCATTACTCCACTGTGCCTTGGAAGGCAACTGGTCTAAGAGAAGGACATCTCTGAATTTAAAACCTGCGGAGGGTCGTTTGGGAACCTTGTGGCATTCGGTGCACCAGGTCTCTGTAGTCGTCCCTTCAAAAAGTGTGGATGGTCCGGCACGAAGCCTTCACCACTATAATCAAATCTCATGTGCCGGTGTCGGGCTGTCGGTTTCCTGGAAACTGATCTGCTTGACCCTCATACGTCGAATCTCGACGGGAGAGTCGATTACATATATATATATATATATATATATATATATATATATATATATATATATGAACATGTGAACAAAGATTTGATACCACAGAACATATATACCGACTGGGCGCTGTTTTAATTCCATTTTTAATAACTCTGTTATTGGATTTTATACATTTTGCAACAGATGGTGTTGAGTTTAGTTTCGACACTATTATTGTTCTGGTCCGGTTCCTTGTACCACGGTGATAGTCCAAGGTAGAACCAATAAAGAAGAACTCGAACACAGATAGGGAATAACACAGATATATTACAAACAGGAATATATACAGAGAAGTCGAAGTGTTAGTATGAACAATCAGGTTTAGTAGAGAGAACAATGTAATCTCGACCAGTATCACTATTCCAATATCTTGCAGTAATTGTCTTAACGTGACTCTGTTTCGGACTGCCTCTGACTCGACTCTTGACTCGACTTGAACTACTGACTCGCCTACTGACTGAGGCGCAGTATTTATTAAGTATGGAATTGTCCATTATTATTATTATGGGTAAGATCCCATAACAATTACGTATGCCGAAATAGATGTGGTCTCGACGGACAGACCCCTAGGACTAGTATTGACCATCATTTTCGTTGGTTTCTAAGAGCCTTTTGTTTAAAAAATCCTGTAAATCCCGTGTATATTTGCGTTACGTTGATGGCACGTTCTCCATCTTTGATTCTGTCAGCGATGCAACGGCTTTTCCCGCCCAAGTCAATAACCTTCATCCGTCCTTGCAATTCACTATGAAAGTGGAGAATGATTGCATTGTTGAACGTAAAGATGGTTTCTTTATTACCAGTGTCTATCGCAAACCTGCCTTCACATTAACTGGGATTTGTTTTTTTCCCTTAAAATTAACCTGATATCTATCTTAGTCCATCGTGCGATGATGATTTGCTCTCCATGAACAATTAAACAGGAACTAGAGAAAAATCATTGTATTTTTATTGGCAATGATTTCCCAGCTAATGTCATCAAACGTGTTATTGAACGTAAGATCAAACGTTTAAAAAAATCGATACTTTTTGATCCCTCACTCTGTCCTATTTATTTGAAACTACTGTGGTTAGGTAGGAAGTCAAATATTCGCTGATAGTGTGTCAGCGTGTCATCAGGTTTTTCGATTATTACGCTGTGTGTTGTTTTTGAGATCTCTTCGGTGTTTCCTTCTTTCGTCAGAGATCGTCTGTCCCACTTTCGTCATATGTCTATTCTGTATAAAGTTTAAATGTCAGTGCGATGCTGAAAACGTAGAATGGACCAATCAGAGACTAGAGACCCGAATTGGTCAACATGTAACTGCTACTATACGATCATTTAATCTCAGTTATTCCCAGTCGCCTCCTCATTGTTTACAACCTCTCTAAGACCTCATCGTTGCTCACACGATCGGTCTATGATATCCTTAGCATCCTTCTGTAGAGCCACATCTCCGTCGCCGCGAGTCTCTTCTTCGTCTTTGAGGAAATCGTCTCGCATTCGCTGCCGTAAAGAAGGACAGATTTCACGTAACAGCTCAGTATTCTTTTCTTTGTTACCAAAGAAATCCTCCTGTCTCGCAATACTATGCGTCCTTGGCCATCCTAATACGTCTACGGATCTCACTGTAGCACTTACCGTCCCCTGTGAAAACGCTTCCCAGATATTTAAGCTTCAGCCTCACTTAGGCGATTATGCAATGACGAAGCATGGAGGCTTGTGTTTTTCCGTTTGTCAGATGGACTTCAGATTCGATACGTCATCTACTCAGAAATGAAATAACGACTATTTCTAGCACTTCGAGTTTTCTATTTTTCTTCAAATTCTTGGACTGTTTCGTACCCAGTCCTTTCATAACCTCTACACGATCAGATTTATCAGTCTGGCATATATATATATATATATATATATATATATATATATATATATATATCCTACTTACCCGAAACAACAACGAGACGTATAGGTGTTGTGGATCCCGAGATGAAATCCGGTCTCAAATGAATGACAAATGCAGGAATGAAATATAGCAAATAAATGTATTGACGTAATAATACAATTGGTAATACGGTTAGTAGATGCAGAAATGCGGTTAGTAGCAATAATATATATATATATATATATATATATATATATATACTGTCTGGGAAATTCAGTATCGAAGTATGACTTCCTTCTGAGTCTACGTGCTCGCAACTGTGACTCCTACAAAGCGGTTACTTCGCACTCTCACTCTCTCACTTACTCATTGTATCTCTCTGTCACTTCCGACTTCAGGGTATTCACCGGAAGCAATACAAGTACACAATGGGCGAGTCCACTTGTATCAAAAAGGGTGGACCGCTTAACAATGAGTTTACCTGAAATTGTTGCTTCTGCTTATAAACATGGCCTTCACGTGTGCTGAGCCATAGGTTTTTCAGTAAGTTTAGTACAATTTAACCCACACTTATTTAGAAACTAAATAAATATTTTATTCTAAAATACAGTTTTCTTGTTTGAAAAACCATAAATAATGAATCATTTCAGCGATACTTAAAGGAAAATAATACTAAAAAACCCCAGTTCATTAAATTCTTCACGCTGAACGAACCGTGGCGTTGTCAGCGAGTCGCCAAAGGTGATGCTGGCAGAAATTGCTTTCAGCAATAACACACCCACTTGTAGAACGTCTGTAGTCATCCATCCACCGCCCCGAGTTCTGTTTCTCTATATCTCTTTGGAGTAAAGAGGTTTCTTGAGACGAACCATGCTTGCCATATTAGTAGCTACTAATTGTCTGATGCAAAAATTCTCGGCACTTTTTTCGGACAAAGTATTTTATTTATAAAAATGCATAACGTCTTTGTTGAATCATCAAAATATTTTTCATGAATTCTTATGTAATTAACTCATCTTTCAGGTAAATTGTGTATACTATTATAAAAGAACGACGTCGGAAAAAAAAACCTTTTGCCTCAACTCTAAGATATCTTTTTGTATCGCAAAAGTAGGCATAAGTAGGGATATTATTTTTGGAACATGATCAGCCCACAAATTCTCTACTCCGGAAAATGTACTTTTTGCTTCCAATCATTCAAACAAGCCAATGGCACACCTAGGCGATGTGAGGCAATTTTTTATGGCTTATGGCCATATCATGTTGAAACACCGGTTCCCGTACAAACACCGAATTTAAGAAACGTCGACCCTAGTCAGTACCTAGATAAGTGACCACTTAGGAATAACAGATGCTGTAAGCTTGAATGTGCATATGAGGGAATGGATAACGACTTGGAATTGTCGATTGGAAATTCTAGTTCCAATTCCAATAGGATTCATTATATTCACTTACACGCAAATGCCCTTGGGAATGGCATAAATCCAGTTTTTCTCCACCCAGCTATGGATTAATTAGTAAGATTGTATCAATAAATATTCCTTATCTCCAAAAGATTCTTACAATCTTAAAATGATTTTGGCTTTAAATAACCTGTAAAGATTCTGGTAGGACTTTCCATTTGTCTCTATATTTTTGATATATCGGGTCCATACCGATCCTTCAGTATCTGTATAAATTTCTGAGATGAGGTATTAAGTACACTATTTACATTGTTCGGACTATCATCCTCATCTTTGTGGCCATATTGATCACAACGTTTCGGCCGTTGCACGCTCCGGCCTTCTTCAGGTGGTTGGAATGTCGAACTGAACCCTTTATTTCGCTCACTGGGGTAGACTGCTCTAGTTCCACATGCCATGTCTAATGGATATCAGTTATCAGTTATCTCCTGTTAATTCCATTCTCTAACTTCTTGTGGAGTTATTTCGCAGTGGAGGTTTGTATTTGTACTAAATCGGTTGTAATTAAGTTCGACGTACAAAACGTTAGGAACTTGATATAATAGGTATTACGCAGAGTAATCTTGTTGTGGTCGCTGACTACTTTCTTATTCGACTACTGTCGGACGACATCGACTGACTCCCGTTTCTCTTACTACTCTTACGTATATTAGGTGGGAGAGTCTATTAACTATAGAATAGGTGTGTTTCACCATAACAATTCTCCACCGCCTTAACCAGGTATTGAACTCACACTCTTTGGATCCTGTCACTAGATCTAAATAACGCCTTTATCCAGTATGCCATGTGTCCTTGAAATGGATATGGTCTGTTGTGGCAGTAAAGATGGCAAATTTAGATATTAGAAAAAGCATTTGAACCGGCTTTTTGCAAGTAACTTACAATGCCTCGTACTATTTTGGGTTTTTTTCTAGAATGTTTTTTGTTTTCGATCTTTTTACTTCCCCTTACCTCTTTATTTTCTTGTCCATTTTTATTAATTCTTAAATTGACCACAACTTTTAACCTGCATTTCAATTTGCGTCATTCAATTGTGTGTGTATGTATGCATATATATATATATATATATACACACACACACACACACACACATATATATATATATATATATATATATAAGGCGACAGGGTCAGGTAAAGGATATTACTGGAAGGTTCTAGCTAGAGCTCTACACAGTGGCAGACCGATGGGTGATGGCCGTTCTTTCACCAATGAGCAAATGTGATGTCCGTGTCCACAGTCTCAGTTACGGTGGACTGGTCATGTCTTGAGAATGTCTGATGACGGGATACCCAAGATCCTAATGTACAGCCAGTTAGATCAGGGCTACAGGAATGTCTAAGGTACAAAGACAAGCTGAAAAGCAGTCAATATACCACATAACACCCTTGAGCTCTTAGCTTTGGAGCGGTTAGAATGGAGATCAACGTGTTTTAGTAGACTCGGCAATTTTCAATCTGCTTGTCTGAATCATCTTCAATAAGCGAGAGCAAGGTCTAAAAGGTCAGCCAATCTAACAGTGATCTCATTTCACAATCCTCACACTTCCATATGTGGCCTCCTTTTGTAAATCGACGGGTTTTAAATGCCATTAAGATTATCGCACAAATTTTATAACTGAATCAACTTGCCAGATCCTCATACGTCGAAACCGACGGAGAGTATATATTATTATATATATATATATATATATATATATATATATATAATCAATAAAAAATGTTAAAAATGAAAAAATTCAGACACACTGGAGTGTATATTAATATTTTTGTTTTATATTTTAAAATTAGATTCCTCGATTAGTTTAGGCCAGCATGGCCATTATTAGGAGAAAAAAATGTTACGGTTTTTTGTGTATATAATACATATAACTAGTGAGCGAGTCAAAAAGACTTATTTCCCTTTATAGTCTACCAATAGAAGGTTAACCAATCAGGAGCCGCAGAACACTGTATCCGTCGTGTATAAAGGCGGCCATCTTTGTTTTTCCCTACCAGAAGGACCAGAGCCAACTTGTCAGGCGAACATTACAGAAGGAAGAACTACACTCTGCTGTGATATCCACTGCGAACCTGAACTACGCTTTCCTACTGTCTCCGAAATATTCACTGCCAACCTCTATATTCTATACTAAAAAATTCCTGCGTATTAATAGCAAACAACAGAGGTGAATGACTGTTTCTAAAGTAATTGTCTTTGGTCTTTCCTTGTTTAGGTCAAACACAATTTTCAACTCGTTTTAAGTCTCAGATTTACCTCCTTAGTCATTTTGACAGCTTTATTGGTTGCTGAGAAGGCATATATATATATATATATATATATATATATATATATATATATATATATATATATGAACGTTATCTTTTTAGTTTGTGTTTGTGTATATGTATATGTGTGTATGTGCATATATTTAGTGAGTGTGTGTGTATCTGGTAGACTGCATCACCGCATCACCTCTGCATGTGTGGATGAGGGTGAGAGGTGTTAGGGGAATCAGCTTGGGTCCTTTATGGGTGGTGTATTGTTCTATGTATTAACAGTAGACACTATTCAACTACGCAGCGATTATAATGTGTTAAAGGCAAATATGGGAGGTGTTATATATATATATATATATATATATATATATATATATATATATATATATATAAGGCTCAAACATATTTCATGCTTTTAATTTATTACATTGGAATCGTAATCACGACCCAATTCGCCAGACCTACAAATTCTTGGAAATATATATATATATATATATATATGTATTGACCCTAATTTTAATCTATATTTATCTATCTATATATATATATATATATATATATATATATATATATATATATATATATATATATATATATATTGTTATCCACAAAACAGACTGTTTCGCTGCATCATCAGTGTGGATAGACGTCCGCTTGTCTAGAATCGAAACCCGGCTGAATTAGAGTCTATCGGAGAATCTAACTCTAAGCCGTTGGCGCACGGCCTGGATGAATGTGAATTTAAGTGTATTTATTTTTAGATAAACACGCTTGTGAATGTGTGTGTGTGTGTGTGTGTGTGTGTGTGTGTGTGTGTGTGTGTGTGTGTGTGTGTTTTATATGAAATTAGCCATTCGTATGTGGCTAACCTCTTTGATGTTTGGGAGTGACTCGAATTCTTTTGATAAAAAAAACAAAGGAAGGTAGATCGTTAAGTAAAAGGCCCTAAAAAAATTGCATTCTTTTGGAAATTCATTATTTTGATAGTAACTCAACTTTTTCATCACCACTAGTCAAAAAAATATTTTCTCTGTTAGTTCTGCAAAGAAAGACAACGTGTAAAAAGTAAACAATGTTCATTTACGTAATTTCATCTCAATTTCATTTTCCTCACCCCAGAAATATCTTACGTCTTGTCTTTCTCTTAAATGACTGCAAAGTATTCACATCTAAGAATTAATATCTTTAAAATGATACTATCTTTCTACATCAACCTAATTCATTTTAATGCAAATTTTATTACACTACGAGCAATATCTTCAGTTACTGTCTTGGGGAATTAAAATTACGTTCCTCATCTTCTGTAAGCCATATCCATTAGGGGATCATGACTCTCTACAACTTCCTATCCTTTGTAGCTTTTAGTAACGTTTGCCTTTTCACCATCCCTTCAATTCCGTGTACTGTGGCATTTACACAAGCTCCATACGAACATTATTAGCTGTTTTCCTATGTTCCGCTTGACTTCAGTATGTCCTGTGAGTATCACATTCTCCAAGCTCGCTTTCCTCATAATGTGTCCTAGAAATTTCTCTTTCTGATTATCCATTTTGTTTCCATTTACCTATAAACTTTGTCATCGCTCATATGTTCAGTATCCACAGCATCCATCTGTAGATTCATATTTATGTAGCCTTAACTCTTCTTCCTTTGTGAGGAGATTGCCTATCATTCGCAGCCATAAAAGAGGATTCAAAAAATTAACAGTTTTTAAGTTTAATTGAAAAATATTAATATTGTTTTTTTTTAAATGAATATAATTTGCAATTATTATTCATTTTAATTTCATTTTTTATATATATTATGATTATTATATTTATTTATTTATTATAATAATAGGATTATTACCATATATTATTAACCGTAGGATTTAATATTATAACTTGATTATATTTAGGTGACCTTATTCCTTATATCATTACCAATATATTTACTACTTATGTTATTACTCTGTTATGGTTATTCTCATATATGGTTATAATTGCGTTTATTCATTATCTTCTGACACTTATTCACCTAAGGCGTTACTCGTAAATTTACCAGCTTATGTCATTACTCTTAAAATGAAAACCATATGCCATTGTTTTAGTTATTACTTCATAGCATTATTCATATGATTACTACTGCATATTATTCTTATACTATCATTTCCTATGTCATTACACTTTTGATTAATATCATCATTACCCATATCATTACAAACTCATGTTATTACTTTTATTTTAAGTTACTCTCTTATATCATTTCTCTTGTAAGTATTAGCATATATTATTATTCCTTTGATATCATTACCTTTATCTGTAGTACCTTATATTGTTTTATTAAGTTATTCCTTTAGACAATTGCCAGTATGATTAATATGTTATATTATTACTCATATTCTAATACACCTTATACACGTATTATTACCATTATGATTATTGGCTTATGGCATGCAATTCACTTATAATTCCCCTCTTTACGTTATTATTCATATGACAAGTAACTTCACTATGTTATTAGTCTTAATATTATTACATTATGTTATTACTCGCATGGGGAATCAACCCCTTCTTTAATTACACTTATTATGACAATGTAAAGTTATTTCTCTCAGGTTAGGTTGTTCTTTTATATATTTACTCTTCTGATTACTACCTT